CTAAAAATCAAGTGAATAAAAAATCTGATGAACAGAATAAATTGGTGATTATAATAGAATCAGGGACATAGAAAGGGAGTGGAAAGGTGTGAGGTTGCAGGAAGAGATTGGACAAAAATCTTACACCTATGGGTGAAGACAGTGGCGGCGGGGGGGGAGGGGAAGGGCATGGGGTGGAGTGGGGAATCAGTGGAGGGGAGCTATGGGGGAATAAAAAGAGGAACACCTGTAATAATCTTAACAATAAAGATTTATTAAAAAAAAAAAAGAATTCTAATCAGTGTAGCTAATTAGATACTGATCCAAAATCAGAAGATTGACAAATCACAGTAGGCCTGTGGCGGGGGGAGGGAGTGAATTAAAGGGGGAAAAGGGAAACATCTGTAATACTTTCAACAATAAAGATAAATAAAAAAGAAAGTTGTAAAAAGAGTACAGAAGGTTCGTGTGTACCTCTCATCCACCTTTTCCATCTTTTTCATTTTCTTTTTGGTCCTTTAAAGCCAATCATGTGCCAGGTCTTTTAGGTTTCATGTCTATGACCTCACTTATATCCATCTTACTCTTTTCAGTATCCAGCCTCAACCCAATTCAAAGCCATTTTACTTTTCTACAGGTTCTGCAATGGTCTAATTGGTCACTTCACCTCTGCTCTTTCCCCACTGCCATATCTGTAACAGACTACCAGATTACCTTCTTAAAGAACAACTTGCTCTTCTGCTCACAACTTTCAGTGATTCTCTGCATCACCTGCCAAATTCAGTTACCTTTTCACTATAACATTCAAAGCCTTCCATAATTTAGCTTGAGACTTTGGGATTTCATGGACTAGTAAAATTTCATAACAAAACCACACAGTAGCTATCATTTTCTTCTGTCAAGTAAGATTATTAAAAAACAAACAAAAAAACAACAAAACAACCTCACCAACTACCAACACCATTGTTTCATTTATAAAAGGACATCTTGGTAGTTTAAAATAAAAGCTAGCACTAACACTCTCTGAGTAAAATATAATCCTTCCCAGGAAAGGACAATTGGAAACTACATAAAAACATTTAATTATGCTGTACTTATTTAAAAACAAACAAACAAACAAACAAAAAACCACCACATGAACTGGTGAAAAACTCACTAGGATCAGCAATAATCATCAGATGAACATTTGGGAGACAGTGATGCAGGCAGAGTTGGCCAGCTATCTGGAATACACCTATGCTTTTATGCCTCCAAGCCTGTTCCATATAGGAATGTTGACACAGTTGTCCAACCCCCTCTCTTCCAGTATGCATTTTATCAATCCATTAGGATTCATCTAAAATGCTACTTCTCCAAGATCCTTTTCTTTTCCCTCACCAGTTTCACCAATTTCTCATTCCTTTCTTTGAATTTCTCTGGCACTTTCTTTCCCTCCCCAAGCACAGGTCTAACGCTAATATAATAGTCATTTGTGTATTTTTTCTTTTTAAAAAAATGTATTTTATTGATTTTTTACAGAGAGGAAGAGAGAGGGATAGAGAGTTAGAAACATCGATGAGAGAGAATCATGGATCAGCTGCTTCTTGCACACCCCCTACTGGGGATGTGCCTGCAATCAAGGTATATGCCCTTGACTGGAATCGAACCTGGAACCTTTCAGTCCGCAGGCTGATGCTCTATCCACTGAGCCAAACCGGTTTTGGCTGTATTTTTTTTTCTATTAAATTAAAAGCCTATTGAGCCTTGAGATATAGTTTTTCAACATGGTAATTTGCATATACCAGGCAGTAACTTAATATTTTATGAGAGGATATATAGACACACACACACACACACACACACACACACACACACACATATATATATATATATATATATATATATATATATATATATATATATATATATATATATCTGTTGTCTAATTTTTGCTTCTTTTCCCAATTATGTTCCCTATAAAAACAGGAATACATTTCAGCAGTCACTTATGAGGATGCTAGGGGTCACTAATGGGTTACATATTTCAACTATATTTTGTGTCAGTATGGAGGTAATTCTTATGGCCGGCACTTATATTCTCCCCTAAATTTCTGACTGCTAATTTTATTTAATAAAAACTATAAATGAAATAAATCAAGGTAGCATATACTCAATTGGTACAAGTCACTCAACATGAATTTGTAGAATCCTAAGTGATATTTACAACTGAGTTAAGTGCTATACTACTTACAATTTGGAAAAAGTGAAGGTAATATAATTAGATAGATGTTTAATTCTCCAAATCAAACAATCAGTAAGCAGCTCTGTCTAAACTACAATATATGTCAGTTATACTTTTAAATCATTCCGCATGACCACTATTCTTCTTCCAGATTTGTAATATTTATTAAACCAGATGGTTGGCAAACTTTTCCTACAAAGAGCCAGATAGTAAAAATTTTGGGCTTTGTCAACTATGCAATCTCTGTTGCAACTACTCAACTCTGCTATTGCAGTGGGAAAGTGGCCATGAACTAGTAAACATATGGACATGGATATGTTTCAATAAAACTTTATTTACAAAACCAAGGCTGGATTTGGCCCAAGGGCAATAGTTTGACTTTCAAACAGAATTGATGCAATGAGAGTTTAAATACAGGGGTTGGGCCAAAGGTATTTAAAGTGGGAAGGCACTGGCAGAAATCCAAGAACTTAATTTCTAATTCCAATAAAAGCTAGAGAAGGAAAGAAAAAAAAAAAAACTACTCCCTTTAAATATAGTTATTGACACCAGTAGTGAACTATGGGTAAGCCAACTAGAGGGCTAAAGATTATAAAGAACCAAGAGGTTCAAAATTGTAGACATTGGTATTTCTATTAATACAAGATGTTATCAAAATAGTAAAGGGACTTCTTAAACACAGTAACACATGTATTAAAGAACTGACCTTTAAGGAACAAATTCTGCAAATGCCGGTGCAAGCGAGACTGATTCTTTATGTATAGGAAGTATCAAGCAAAAGTGGAAAATTACTTGAAAGAAGTTCAATAATATTTAGCAACCCATGAAAGCAGCAAGGCAAAAAGTATTAGAGACCCAACTAAGAGAAGGTGAGAAAAGTGAGCAGTGCATATGTGCAACTGAAAATAACTGAGGTAAAAATGAATTCAACTAAGGTTTACTCTAATTTCCCTTCCTTCAGTGTAACTTCTCTGACCACACCCTAAACTTGCCAAAACAGCACAAAACATGGGCATAGATCATTTGGACAAGTTTCCTGGCCTCAGGCATGTCATATTCCATTCCCATGTTATTTCTTTTTCATAAACAAGAGGCTTTAGGCTTGGTCCACTTTGAGGTTTCTTTATCTTTAACTCCTTTTCAATAAAGATTCAATTGCACCACAACCCTTCTATACAAATTTCTCTTCATGCATCAGGATCTTAAGCTATAGAATTTGACACTGTAACTATACTGTCATGATAAAATAAAAAATTCAAATCCTTTTCAGAACAAAGCAAAGTATGAAGGGATAACTAAGATCACTCTATTTGTTTCCAGAACTTTGGGGGTTTGGGAAGGTCCTGCCATCTCTGCCCTGCCCCAGCACTTAATATATTAAACAGGATCCACATGTTCCTTCAAGTATATATCCTCTATCATCAATATGCAACTTGTTTTTTCATTTCATAAGGCTTCCAGGAAAACCAACATTCTCCCTAAGTGCTTTCTTCTATTAGCAGAGTGGGTCCAGAACAATTTATCCATACAACAAGATTAGAGTAAAATTCTCAACACAACATGCAGAATTGTTCTGTTTAGTCTTATTATAGTTTGCTTTTCATTTTAGAACACTATATTCTCCCTTACCTCAAATGACCAGAAAGCTGCATTTGTTTAGAGTTAAACAGCTTAGATGTTGATTAGTAGTGGACAAAGCAGTAACTTAGGAGTCAGGAGACACAAGTTCCTAGTACTGGCTCCACTGCTTTGTCATTGTGGAGATTTATGGGCCTCAGTTTCCTTATAGGTTAAACAAGGAAGGAGGATCTGCTCTTTGAGTTCACTTGTAATAGTTGCTATTTACAACTCCAGATTAGTTTAATGCCAGCAAAAGGTGAGGAGCAAAGTTAATAACATATGTAGCAAATACATTTTTTTGACATTTTTACAATATTGAGAAAACTTTATGATATTGGGATGTGAAATGCACGATTTCACTTGAAAATTCTATTTTAAGAAAAAATAAGCATGACTCATGCCAGACCTTTGGATATGTGCAGATGATACAGTTAACTATCAGAGCAGTGTTTTAAAATCATATTTGTTTCATTATCAGCCCTCTAAGGAACCTTTATATAAAGGTCTCCTCCAAATTCCCATGAAATTTATATATATATATATATATATATATATATATATATATATATATATATATATATTCTGCTTTACACATAAAAAGAGTTGTGTTTTCCCACACACACCCAAGGACCAAGTTGGGGGCAGTATTAGCCACTGAGAATACAAAATGCAAACTTAGATCAACTTTCTCTAGTACTTAACTTTTTGGCGCCAATAAAAACTATATATATATATAGCTCAAGCTTATTTGTTTGCCAATTTATTTACATTTGCTGGAGGTGAAGGTCAGAGGTGACAAAGCAGCTAAGAGAATGACAAAAATTATTAATCACAGAAAATATGGAGGGGAATATTCAGTTTCTTCAAAAGAATGGATAAGAGATGGGGTGAAGTTAGAAAAAGTCAAGTTCCACATCAATTGGTTGCTGCCCTTGGGTGCCGGTGGACTTTCAGAAGAGGAGATTCAAGTTCAAATCAACCTCTGGGTGGGTGTGCACTTTCCCTCTAGCCACCCCCTCCACTCCCTTCTAGGCTGAGGGTGGGGTCTCTGGATGCCAAGACCAACAGAGATACCTGCAGAATCTTGATGAATAAAGAAAAGGATGGGGATATTTTTGGAAGTCACTTTCTCCAACTCTTGCCACGCCCCTGCCTCTAGATTCCAGTATTTCAATCCTGCTCACCCAAGCTCGCTGATCAAAGGGGTGCTGTTGGATCTTCTCTGGGTGTTGCGGGCTGTGATGGCAGAACTTGGCAGCAGCTCCACGCCTGGTTCCATTTTCTCCTGTGCCATGTCCGTGTTAAGGCAGAAGCTACTGCTTACTTCTATGATCTCAAGATTTCCTGGCATAGGGGCGGGTCAACTTGGTGAGGAGATGATGGAGGGAGAAAGGGGGGAGAAAAGAAGAGAGAAGGAAGCTATTAGACCACAGAGGTGCTCACCTTTGCTGCCTTACCAGCCCTTACACTACCAGGCACAAAGTGAGGCTCCAAATTGATAATGTCCCCCTCTCCCGCCTTCGAGCTCGGGGTCACAAACTCTGAGATCTTCCGCCTTCAAACATATAATGAAAATGAATTTGTCTTAGTTTATGTCCGTAAATCCTTCTCTTTTAATTTGCAGAGCCAAAGCAAAAACCAGATAAGCCTTTTGGGTTTAAAGTAAAGACTACAACCTTTGATCTTGGTGTATAAATTGGGCGTCATCCTTCTGTGCTTGCGCCATGTGCCTGACTAGTTGGAGTGTGCTTACTGCTCAAGCAATGAGCATTATTGCTGTCGCTTCTGTTAGTCTGGCCATAGACGCAGGCGAAGTCAAGGAGCTGCTGTGTTTTTGTTTGTTTGTTTGGCCCAAATCAGTCTTCCCTTCTCCTTCTAGTGCAGATTAACAGAAGTCATTCCTCTGCTTCTATGTTAACCCTGGAATGGTTTCCTTAACCACTATTTAATAATGGGTGGGGAGGAGTATGGTGTATGGGAGAGCCACCTTTTTCGCCCTATACCTAATACTCAGTTTTCTCAGTTTTGGTTAAGCCATTAACCCTGTATGACTGAGGCCAACAAATTTGTAACCTCCCATGACAAATTTTTCCATCTTGTCACACTACATCTTTGTAATTTTAAAAAAGCTGAAGTCTGGGGTGGAGGTTGGGGAACCAAAACCACTCCTATGTGTTTAGAGGCCACATACTCTCAAAGGGTCCTGGTAAGACGCTAACCCGTATGAATCAACTGCGCAAACGAATCATTGTTTTCCATGTTGTTTCATTATTTTTTTTAACATAGTCATATAATGTATATTTTTTACACGGAATAAAATCTAACTCTTTAAAACTAAGAAAAGAAAAGTTAGTTTTCTAAGAAAACTAAGAAAAGATTAGTTCTCTAAGAAAAGATTAGTTTCATTATTTTTCTAACAGTCATATAATGTATATTTTTTACACGTAATAAAATTTAGCTCTTTAAAGCTATTCATCTAAGAAAAGGATTAGAGATAAAGCATAGAGGCTTATTTTCTTAAATATCGCAGAATTTAGTATCCATCCAAATCAGTATTTCCATCTAACAACGCTGTGATGGCTCAAAACATTTTAAAAACCGCTCTTTTCAAATTTTGAGTGCTGAAATTTCATGCTTATAATTTTGTAGAACCGCAATTTTTAGGAATCATAGAGAATTGGGAGAGAAGACAAGTGCAACTAGTGGCATGGGAGTTCTTAAAATAGTAATAACATGGCATAGCACTGTACTGTTTTAAAAAAGATTTCATATACTTGTCTCAATTGGTTCAATTATTAACCCAGCTCTTCTAATCAATCAGTGGTGAACTTAAAATAATGGGATTATCTTGAAACAGTTCAAGACAAGTTATGACATGAAAGATCATAATTACTCATTCATTCTGAGAATAGAAAAAGAAAAGCTTAATTATATTAGGCAGGATTAAGTTACTTAAATCCCAAATGATGAGGGTGATTTGGAGTCATCATTCCTGATGTAAGACATGTTAAGAATAGTGACCATTTTTTGAGCACTTACTCTGTCCAAGGTACTATCTGTCCTGAGAACTTTAAGTATGTGATTGCATTTAAGGCTTACAATAACTCTGAGGTAGGTACCATCACAATAGCCATTTTTCAAAGGAGGAGACCAAAGTCCAGAGGGGTTACTAAAATTACAACTAATAAGGGGTAAAGTCCAGATTCTTCTATCCTATTTAAGTCCGGGATTGTCCGGTTGGCCCATGGGCTGTATAAGGACCAAGAAACCATTTGGTCTGGCCCTGCCAAGGCATTAGGAGTGAGTTAATTAAATGTTTGACCAAAGATAGCAGGCTAATTTTTAAGCTGATAATTTTGTATGGCTCGTGAATGATGTTATAAATATCCAAATGACCCTTGGCAGAAAAATGTTTCCCCACCCCTTAAAGTGAAAATGAGGTGCCTCTGGATATTTCTCTGGCCACTGTTTTTGTACTCATAAACACTCGATGACTACTTATTAAATTATTTCATTAATAAATACAGGTTTAAATAATCTGTCTTACACAGTTATCTTGTAAGGTAGGTAAATCATTTCTATTTTACAGTTGATACAATTCCAGAGCCATTCATGTCACACAATTAGGTGGCAGTAGAATCTCAGCTAGTACCAAGATCTCCTGAAAGCCAATGTCAGTTTCCAAGACACTTGTAAAGTTTATGAAAAATGGCAGCTAAATGTGAGGACAGTGTATGCAGGAGGCAATAGTTAAATACAGAACAGAAATTCAAAAAACAAACTAAATAGAAGGAAAATATGGAGTACACCAGAGAACAAGATCTTACCTCCACTCTACTGTTCATTATAGTTTTTAAAGAGTTTGTTAAATATTCTTGGCAGGTAAGAATTTTTAGTGGATATATTTTGAATGAATAGACAAAATTTCATCATGCCTAAGCATAATAGATATCTAATTTTTAAAATTCTAAATACCATAACATTAAGATAATGGGTATAATAAAACAAGGAAAGAGCAACTAAGAGACTGTTCTTAAAAAGGGGGTAGTAATATAAAATGACTAAGTATATGAGATGGAGATAAGTTTCCACTATTACAAACAGCAGACATTCTCTTTAACTAAAGTGCAGCTACATGACAAGGACCCAAAACCTGTAAAGATATAGCCAGGACTCAATACATACACAAGTTGGAATGTCAAAAGGAACAAGTATTACAAAAACAAAGACTTCTGTATACTATAGTGGCAAACACGATATTTAAAGAACTTATTTTTACTACTTCCCATTTCCACCTACACATTATTATACCAACTTAGCCATGTTTCATGATCAATTCTTGCTGTTCCATAGTAAATATGCCATGATCTCAGATCTCTGGTTTGTTTAGGCATATCTTGACACTTACGCTGCTCCTGTTTCTATGACCCTGTCTGTTGCCATTTGCCCCTTACAAAAGATGTCCCACAAATATGTCATAATTAGCTCTTTATTTCACCAGTTGTCATGGCAACTTTTAAGCAGCATTCTAACTCACAAGAGCAAGCCCACAATTACAAACATCCCAAGCCTCCCGTAAGTTTACATGAAGAGCAAAAAAAGCTAGATAGGCAAGAATGATGTGAATAAAACCTGGAAATGATGGCCAAGGTAGCATCCATCTTCTTACATATCCTTGAGTTTCTCCTAATTGTTAAGTTCCTGGAAATTAGGGATTCTACGAAATTGTTTGACTTCTCAGAGTTAGGGACTGTGCATGTGGTCAACAAATGATTGTATAATTGCTATCGTGAACAACAGAATGCACTATAATTTTTTGAGCAGATGGAGTGGGAGGTATGCTAAGACCATGAGATAAATAGATACATACATTGGTCAAAAACAGAGTTTGAAATTTTAATCCAGCAGGCAGGAAAATATAGGCAATTTAAAAGAAACTTTTCAAAAGTGGTTTTAAAAACTCGCATACTGCAAGTACAAAACATAAACATTGGGGAATAAAATGATAACTGGGCTTGGCAAGTTTAATATAAATCAACTGAATTAAGGGCCAAGTAAAATTAGTTTTGCTAAATTTTGAAACCAACTTTGTATTTTCCAGATATGTATGATTAAAACAATACAATGATCATCTTTCCTCTTAGGGTCATTCAATTGGTGAGGATTAAATGTGTGGATGAAAGGGGCCACATGCTGACCTGATAAGCTCAGGGGAGTCCTGCATAGCAGTCTTGCAAACTCAGAGACCTAAAGTAACCACAAAGGATGGTCTGAAATTAAACTTTAAGTAAAAGAAGTTATGGTGGGCAGTTACTGTTCTAGGTTGGTATCTTCACTGACAAGGTCAACCTTTACCTTAACTGAGCCTGTTTTTTTTTGTTTTTGTTTTTTTTCTTCATCTATAATAACGTATTAGTACCCTTGAAATGTCTGGGTAACTTTTAACTTCCCTTTTTCTGGACCCCCTGGGGCACAACCCAATGTACTGGGTGCCAGGACAGATACCACACATTCCTTCATTGTCATGTTAATTGTTCCTGCAGCCACCTAATTATGTGTTCATCATTTTACTTTTTATCCAATCCCAGGGTACCCCCCCTCGCTTTGTTTTATTCCACCTCCTTAAACTATCACCAGTGGATTTCCTGTAACCCACCTAAGTCCTTCCTTTCATTGCTATGTATAAATGCAGACCCGCCATTTCTCCGGAGCATTATCTCAGATGGTTGAGGTACTGCTTCCCTGTATATGTCGACAGTTTGGCTCAAATAAACTCACAAAAATTCTTTACTGGTTTCAATGGTTTCTTTACTTTAACAAAGGCTTTAGTATCTCAAAAGTTCTTAGAATAGTGCCAAGCACAGTAACGGCTGTGTAGATGTTTGTAAAATAAAATAATTTCAGGTCTCACACATGCCAAATAATGATTTCCAGGGTCTCCATAAATCCTAGAAAGTAAAACACTTATGCTACTTGCTTTTCAGGGCTTTCCCCGACATCTTTGAAGTTAACAGCGCTTGTAAAACAGGACAGGAGTGCTTCTCGCTATGAACGCTTGTCAGAGTCTTTTGTTTTTACACCATTGCTTTTGTTTTTTCACTTCCCTTTAGTCTAGTGCATCCAAATACATCTTCTGAAAACGAGATCTGCCGCTCCTGACGAAGACCAATAAAATACAAGGCTTTAAGAAATGAGCGGGGATAGCGGACATCAGAGCATCCAAATTGGGAAGGACATAACGCAGGAGCCGCACGTTTCTGTTTCCCTTGAATAATCGGCTCAAACTCTTCCAGAAACATATTGCTCCAGTGTCTCTAACTTATTGGCTCTATTCAAAATCGGGCGCTAGGTTTCCCTGGCCAATACCAACTTGGAAAGCGCCGGGGACCCCCAGGAAACGCTCCTCCCCTTCGGGGGAGGTTGGCGGGGGCGGGGCTCCCACGCATGCTCTGTGCCCGTGGGACCATGGGCGCGGTTGCCAGGCGCGTGCGCAGGACCCGAAGGGTGCCCGAATGCGGAAGACCTGGCTCCGCGGAGGTTCCCGCTTCCGAAGCGTGGGAGGAGCAAAAGCAGGCAGGTTGTAGTTTTTGGTCTTGGCACCGAGGGATTCCCCGAACCGTTAGAAACAAAGAGAGGACGATCGGGCGCCCGTGGTGGCGGCTGAGGGGCTGAACCCCCCACCTGTTCTCCAGGTTGCAAGGGGGGTAGGGAGAGAAGTACCGAAAACAAGGCTGAGGAGCCTCTGGGACAGGGTCCCAGAGCATGGGGGGCTGGACCCCGTCCCTAAGCACGGAGAGCTGCAGCTGCCAAGGCCACCCGACTGAGTCCTGCCCAAGTGTCAGCTCCTCGGTGATAGCGCCGGCGGGGCAGCTGCAGAGGCTGTAGCCTGGCCCCCGCTTTAGGTCCTCGGCCAAAAGATAGCATGAGTTCCGCTGCTGCCTAGTTTCCTCTCCCTCCTACTCTTCTCCCCTGCCCTCTTTCCTTCTTTCTCCCCCATACATTGTCCTTTTCCTCCCCCTCCCCGGCTCCTCTTCCCTCCCCCAACCCGGCCCCCCTTCTCCCCCCTATCTTTCAATTCCCTCCTTCCTCCGCCTTTTACACTGGTTTCAATCTGTCCTTTCCCCTCCCGTTTTCTCCTTTCCATCCTCCTTCCACCCCTCTTTATTCTTTCTCCCTTTATACGGTCACCCTCCGTTACAACCTTCCCATTCTCCTTCCCTGCCTGGATCTATCTATCATCATCCCTCCTCATCCTCATCCTCCTTCCCTCCCGCTTTTCTCCGCCCCTTAGCCCCCGCCCCCAAGCCTCCGCCCCTTAGCCCCCGCCCCCAGCTGCCAGTCCCCAGCAGCTCAGTCCTGCCGTGAGTCCATAGCTAAGCGCCAGGAGCTGAGCACTGTTCCGCTGTGCCTGGCTGCAAGTCTCTGGTATGGCCCAGGAGAAAATGGAGCTGGACTTTGAGCATGGCACATCTCTTGGGGGCACCCTGAGAAGATCCAGCAGCGCTCCCCTGATTCGTGGGCTCAGGTGAGCAGGGTTGGGGAGGATGGACGATAGGGTTCAGGGGCTCCCGGAGCCCCTGCAGGCGGACTTCCTTCCCTAAAGTGAGAGTTGGGAGCTCCTCGGGGCATTCCAAACTTGAGGGGGTGATGACTGTGTGCTTGTCGGTGGGGTCCCGCGGTGGAGTGAAAGTTTGACCGCAAACTCCGGGCAGTGTGGGAACCACGGGGCTCTTTCTACCTGCGGCTCTGTTAGCTCACTCTAAAAGTAACGACAAGAAGCTTCTGGCTCTTCTAACAGGTTGCCTGCCCTGCCTAATTTACACCACTGAATGTCAGACCGAAGCCCCTGGAACCAGACTTGCAATTTGACACCTGTTTCTAAGAGCTGCTATTTCTAAGCCGCGTCGAGGAACCCTGGGGTTAACAGTAGTTTACTTTTTTTTTTTAAAATCACAGTTTATCTAATAACTTGAAATTAAATCATGTGTGCATGTCATATTAAGTGATTCAGATTTGTCATAATGTTTTCAGATTCTAAAACTGCCTGAAATGCATTCCGGTGAATAAGAAGGAAGGATAGCATGCAGCCTGGGTCAGAGAAAACACGGCTTTTAGAAAACTATGGAAAGAGTGCACCGTTGAATTTTTGTGGCAGGGTTTGTGTTTTCATGTGAATAAGTCATCAGTGGGTCTATTTTAAGGTGGAATATTGTGATAGTGAAGGTTAGATTAGCAGACCTCCTGAACCTATTACATTTCACTTTTATAAGTAGACAATTCATCTTAGGCAGAGAGCCGTTTTTTGAGACCCTGTAGAAATGGAATTAGTCCAAAAAAGGGGATAGGAGTAGAGTTTGCCAAAAACATTAATCAAGTGCAGGGAAGGTAAATTAATGTTTATCAAACTGATTATAATATCCTCATTTGGGAGGGGCGGATTTACTTTTTTCTTTTATTAATGTTTGAAACTACAGATGATAGAATGACGATGCTTTTCTACTGCTGTCCTCGGTTTTGCATTTATTTTTGCCACTATAGGAATAAAGTGGTCTTTTTTGGCTGTCTTTTAAAATCTAGTAGGCAAGCAATTGCTAGAGATGAGGGTAATCCTGTTGACCTGAATTTAGTTTACTGTGGAAATAACATACTGTTTTTTGAATCACAATTTAAGTAATTACTTGAAAGGTAGCATAATGACAGCAGAGTGAGTGAGGAAAGCAGGCTTAGTCCCAATTTTCTCCCTGACTGGCTATGATTATGAATGAGTCACTTAGCCTCTTTGAATTTCTGTTTTCTCACTTAAAACACAGGCGAATTGGATTGGGTGATATCTATATCACCAGTCCTGAAAATCCTTCTTGGCCTCTTAACAATGGCATGGCACTCTGCTGGGCACTGCAGGGTAGTGTACAAGGGTGACCAAAACACCTCCACCAAGGATTTAAAACACACGCATAGTTTTCACTTATAAAAGGTAAAGAGGGTGTTCGAGGAAACATCTACTTTCCCATTGTGCTCTTTGAGTTCAAAGGAGGGAAAGATTGCATTAGATTTGTGGAATAAACAGGCTTCACGGAGGGCATAGCATTTGAAATGAGTGTTGAAGGAAAGGAAGGACTTTGACAGATGGTAGTGGGAAGGAGGGCATTCAGCTCAGAAGGGGCAACCTGAGCAAAACTCCAGGTATGATTATTTAGTGGGACAGTGTGGCTCAAAAGTAAAACATGTGTTTAGGGCACAAATGGGAGTTTCTGATTGGGCTCACATGGCTCAGTTCTTGTCATGTCACAGCACACACACAGAAAGCAGTACTGATTGTAGGTCCTCTAGGAACGAGTTTCTCTGCTAGTTTGAATCTGGTGGTAACCGGTTTTGAGCGGGGGGAGGGGGGCTAGTGGGGGGGGGTTGAGTTCTAAGCAGAAGCAGCTGGAGGCATCCAGTCTGGAGCTCCGCCCCATACCTCTCCTAGCTGCCCCCCAACACCCCTAGGAGATCAGTATCTCCGCCAACCTGTAATCACCCCACACCACGGAGGAAGCTCTGAAGAGGACGGTGAGGAGTTTATGCATTGTGTGATACGAGGAGACACTGAAGATTTCATTGTTAATTTACAGAATTGACATCAAATATAGTTAAAGGGTATCTTACATGAGAAGACATTAATAATTTTATTTTTATTTTTTAGTGACCTTTCGCAGGTTTTTCAGCCTTACACACTTAGAACTCGGTGGAATAGTGCAACGATTATGAGCAGTCACAGCCTGGTGAGTATAGAAGTAAGTATGCTTAGTGGTTTTGGTTGCAGGAAACACTTTCAAATGTAGTTCTTTCTTAAAATTATGTGCTATGCACAATTATTTACAAAAGAAAGATTTCCTTACCTATCTTGTTTGCTGCTTAATGCTGTGGCCAATTTCAGCTTTCAGTGCACAAGACAAGACCTGGTTAGAAATATTTCTTGGCTGTGGAACTTTGTATTTTTAAACATTGCTCTTTGTTTTGGGCTACTACTTGCATCATGATTGTGAGGTAAGTCAGGATTAATTTCTAATTATAACTGAGAGCTGTGGTCTTAATTTGTCCTAGGATGCAAAAAATCACAAAAATGGTGGCAGAGTGTTTATTTCTGTTGGTGAATGCTGTTTATCCAAAGAAAGACCCCTTTAAAATGTGTGTATTTGTATTCTCAGTGGAGTTGCTGATCGTGACTGTTCTATATTGGCAGAGCTGTTGGGGATCACCTTATTAGTTGGTTGTGTTGGGAGAAATTATGATGAGGTTTTTATATAGCAGCACTTCACATGTGGAGCCCACTTATGCTGTAGCTGCAGTGCTCTGGAAGACATCTGAGATGTAAGCAAACAGACCTCTAAATGGCTGAACTAGATTTCCATAGTCTGTGCACAAATGTTCATCAGTTTATTTATAGGAGAGCCTTTCTGACCTCTGAATCATCTAAAATTTATGCACAATTATAATAAGCTTCCAATCCAGTAGTGTGTGAGAAGCAGCAAATCAGAAGAGGTACATTTGTGTTAAAGGTATACTGACAGCTGCTAGCAAAGGAAGAGAGGAGAAAACTAAAAAGCAGACAGAGGTTTTCTTTAAAAAAAAAAAAAAAAAAAAAAAAAAAAGTACATGGCTGAGTATAAGAGCTAAGAACCTGGTAATGGATCCTGAAGTGTTAATGGCATAGAACCGTAAAATAATATGTTTTTAAGGATACCTGGGTCTTCACCTTTTCTTAAATTATAGTAATACCTACTCTTGTATGACATTTTACATGTTACAAAGTACTTTCACACATTTAATCTCATAGCAACCCCAGTGAAGTAGGCAGGGTAGAAAATGTTTTTCCCAATTAAAAGAGGCAGCAGCTAAGACTCAGCCGATATAAGGGACTTGCTCAGAATCACACAATTAATAAGTGGCAGAGCTGGGATTAGAATAGAGATCTTCCTATGCCATTCTGCTTGGTATAATCTGTTTAACAAGGGGGAAAATATCACACTTTTAAGAAAGATTTCCATCTGAAGTGCTAAAAATACTTAAAGGGGAAAATGTTAGCTGTCTGGAGGTTTGATTCTCCTCACCACATTCCCCGAGGATACTGGAAAATATAAGTACTTATTTTTGCCGTATATATGAAAAATGTTCTTGTATCAATAGCATAGCAAAGAAGGGAAAATGAATTTGCCTCTCCTACACTTCACTTTTCTCTTTTCTAAGTTATAAAGATTCTTATCAGCTCTATCTAGGCTTAGTTCTCACTGTTCCTTGACTAATACCCACCTAGGCTCTGGCTGCACCGATTCTTTAGTTGATGCTCCACCATGGAGCCACACCAGCCTGGATAGATCTTCATGATTGACAACTGATTAGATATAAAGGCAGGGAGAAGGAGGACTCAAAAGTCACTGCAATTTTATTTCTTGATGACCAAGGGGAGAGTGTTACCTTGGGAAAATTGAGTGGAATTGGTCATTTGAAGAAACAGAAGATAAATTCTTTCTGGGTATGCTGGGTTCAAGGTGCTCTTTTTCTAAAGCAATATTCTAAATCTTGCCCCCCCCCCCCGAACTACAAGCTTCCTATCTCACCACCTTTCACATTCGTCAGATGATGCTTTTCATTTCACAGAGAAGGCAGACACCTGTCTTGTATTCATGTCAGCTTTCTTCTCCTTAAAACGTCTTTATCTTCACATGCGGTGTTTTCTCCTAATGGCTCATATATTTTATGACTCTCCTGTCACTGTGCTTGGTCGGTCATCTTCTCTCTGTCTCCTGTCTTCAGTCTCTTCCTCACTGGCCCTTTTCTTCCACCTTCTCCCGACTCACACCTCTAATATATAAAAAACAAACTGTTATCTATTTTTTCCTTCCCTTTTTCTTCTCCTCTGGGAGCTTTTCAAAGCTTAATCTATACTCCACTGCCTATAATTCCTTGTCTCCTAATTTTTTGTTAACTATTGGGTCAGTTTGTAATCTCATCATTCCTACCACAACTCCATAAAATATCTGTTCTTGCAAAAGTCACCCACGCCCACTTATTGCCAAAGTTGGGGGCCTCTTATTCCACTTGAGCTCTTTGCTTGACTTATCATTAACCAGACCTCCTTGAAGTTCTTGGCTTTTTTTCTCAGCTAATACTTCACTCTTATTTCTGGGACTATACATGGCTTTGCTCCTTTGCCCCTCTTTCAAGTCTACTCAGTTCTGTGTTAAATTTACAAGTTGTACATCATATAAATTCAGCGTTTAAATTTCTGACTTTCTTCACAATCAGGCTTGGTAACCCTCATTTTGTCTGTCCTGATTATTTCACTGCCTTTGGGGTTTCCTTTGTTGTCTGATGGACACATTTATGCTCTCCTTTATATTATCCTGTTAGAGTCTTTCTTGTCTCATTTACTTGCCTAGTAGCTTAATGTTTTTCAAATGACATTATTAAGAGTTCACCAGTAAACATTTATTGCTTTCATAATGGCAAAGTACTTTTTAAAAGAATTGTACTGGTAAAGTTTTTCTTTTCAAAGTCTAGAAGAGGTAAAAATTAAAGACAGGGGTGGGTAATGAAGAGATATATTTTGAGGTAAAAATCATATTTTAGTGAATAACTTTATTTATTTTAATTGATTTCAGAGAGGAAGGGAGAGGGAGAGAGAGAGAAAAAAAACACATAAATGATGAGAGAGAATTATTGATAGGCTGCCTCTAGCACGCCCCACACTGGGGATTGAGCCCACAACCCAGGCATGTGCCCTGACAAGGAATCAAACCATGACCTACTGGCTCATAGGTTGATGCTCAACCACTGAGCAATGCTGGCTAGGCATAAAAAAACTTATCTGAATTACCTTTTGCTTAAAGCAGTTATGACCATTTTATAATCCTCACTACATTAGTATTTTTAAAAAGTTTTAATAGGTTAGGGCCTCCTGTAACAGGATAATTGTCTTACTTACTTTTATATAGTATTATAATTTCATTTGTATTTCACTAGGGAATAAATAGTAGTTATTTATATTATGGCTATTAGAATCCTAAGGTCCATTTATATGAATTTTATCTTACATTTTGTAATCAGATTGTGATTATTTTGAAGGAACATAATTTGCCCTCCACAAAACATTCCATCTTTGTGTTATTAAAAAATGGTGATCTAAGGGAAAGCAGCAGCTATTTTAAAAATGTACTTTGCCTTCCACATTGATTTTTCTTAACTACTAAGGTTTGTGGTGGTAGCATTAGTGATCAAATTTTAGATTTGATTTAGGTCATGGAAACAAAATCTTGAAGTTTTAAAGTGTTTTTTATAAACTTAAATCACAGTCACAACATCATACTAGGCTTCTTAGTCTTATTTTGTCCGTTGGCAAAGTGCTAATAAAAATGAATAAAATCCATATTTTTTTCCCTTTCTTATATAGTTCTTTATTTTAGATTAGTGGGGTAATGGATATTTCCAAGGCCTGGAGTCTTTTTTTGTATATATAAATGTACACAGCTCTGCATTCATTTGGGAAAAGCGTTAAAGTAAGTGCCTGTCTAGCGACAGATGGTGCCTTGAGGTTGGACACCTGGTGTACTTTCTAAAGACTGAATGTACTGCCTCTAGTGCATTAATGTTCAGTAATTTAAAGAGCTAGATTTCTAAGAAGAATATGAAAAATTATCTAGGAAGAGGTCATACACTGGTACTGACAGCAGATTGCCGCTTTGTGATTCAGAAAATAGTAAATGTTTACTTTTCTTTCCAGTTGCTGTCATCGTCATCTAATGGGATTTCTAGTAGCAGACTGCATCAAATCAAAAAGGTAAATTTTACTTTCTAGTGCAGGCCTACAATTTTCTGAATTGATTTTATTTTCATTTTGAAGACTTAGATATCAAAAATGCAGTACGCTGCAACTGCTTTGTTGTAGACAGATTAAAAATCTCCTGCAGGTTCAAATAAAATACAGATGTGGAGTGAGTGACAGTCTTAGAATGTTATTTCTGCTATACTGTGATTATGTCAAATAAGGTAGAAAAGTCTTTTTTCTTTTCTTCGCAATAAAGAACTGGGTGGATAAATATTATGTTTTCAGCACAGGTTTGTCTTTGCAGGAGGAAGGCACGGATATCATGAACAGAGAAACTGCCCATGAAAGGTTAGCGCTTCACAAGAATGGGACATAGCATTGTGCGTGTCTTGTTTCTGAGTACTGATGGCCTTTCATTTTTGTTTGTTTTAGGGAAGTGCAAGCAGCCATGCAGATGAGCCAGTCATGGGATGAGAGCTTGAGCCTGGTAAAGTTTTCACATTTGCTTGCGTGTTTTTAATTTACAGAAACCTTTGTATTGTTCATTAGCTTTATTAATTTTTTCATATACTCATATTCAGTTTTGACCTCTGCTTTTCTACCACAAAATATTGCAACTTTTTAGAGTCTATATATTTGTACTCTAAAAATCTAGGCATGTTTAAGTAGCAACAAATAGCTGTGATGTGCTGAATTGTGTATTATGAGGAAATAACACTTTATATTTACAGAGTGATAGTGATTTTGAGAAGCCAGAGAAATTATATTCTCCTAAAAGGATTGACTTCACTCCAGTTTCTCCGGCACCATCACCCACCAGAGGACTTGGAAAGGTAGGCTCATGGACAATATATTAACTCTCACACACTGAGCTGTTTACTCTCTAAAACACACACACACACACACACACACACACACACACACACACACACTTTTTATTTTTTTAAAAATATATTTTATTGATTTTTTTACAGAGAGGAAGAGAGAGGGATAGAAAGTTAGAAACATCGATCAGTTCCCTCTTGCACACCCCCTACTGGAGATGTGCCCACAACCCAGATACATGCCCTTGACTGGAATAGAACCTGGGACCTTTTGGCCCACAGACTGACGCTCTATACACTGAGCCAAACCGGTTTCGGCTGCACTTTTTATTTCTTTCTGCTGCCAGGACCCAGGTGGTGGCAACCCCTAACCTCTCTTGGCTCCCCTGAACCTCAACCTCCTCTCCTTCATCCTGGATATTGCTGTGGTCAGTGCCCACCCCCAGGGGTCACCTCCTTAGTGCTTTCCCTGGGGAGCAGTGTGCCCAACCATCTCTGCCCAACTGCAGCTTTTGCTCTAGGAAGAAGCTGAGTTACAGAGATGGAAGGCAGATGAAGCCACAGCAAGAGGGCTTTCAGTCAGATGTCAAGAAGAACACCCCCTTGGGGAAAAAGTTGAAGCAATCAGACCGGGGCACCTCAGTTTCTCCTTGCCCAAGTTCCTTAGGAAAGTAGCGTATGGCCCACCAAGCCTTCAGTGGCAGGACATCCTCACTCAGTGGTAGCACAGTGTCTGTACCAGGGAGGAGTTTGTTCCAATACCTGGTTCCTTAGAACCCCATAGGGATGAGTGGGAATCCCTAGCAGGCTGGGCAGATAATTGACGGCTGCCCGGCAGGCAGGCCCAGGGTCCAGGAGTGATGAGAAGTCCCAGAAGCAGCCATGATCCTGTGCTTGCAGACATTGTGGTGTAAAGTCTTTCCATCTAGGCCCTTGAGACTGAGCATTCTGATAAGGGGAGGTATGCAGAAAGACCAATGAGGAGACATGGGGGCCAAGAGATAGAAACACAGCCGAAACCGGTTTGGCTCAGTGGTAGAGCGTCGGTCTGCGGACTGAAAGGTCCCGGGTTCGATTCCGGTCCGGGGCATGTACCTTGGTTGTGGGCACATCCCCAGTGGGGGGTGTGAAAGAGGCAGCTGATCGATGATTCTCTCTCATTGATGTTTCTAACTCTCTATTCTTCTCTCTTCCTCTCTGTAAAAAATCAATAAAATATATTTTTAAAAAATAAGAGAGAAACACAGAGAGGGAGATGAAGACTTGGGAGAGAGACAGAGATGGGATGGAAACACTACAGAAGAGATAATCAGAGAGAAAGGAGGAGACAGGGGCACAGAGGGCAAGATTGAGCCCTGGGGCAGAAAGGCATCTATAAAGACAGGAAGTCAGAGACAAGAGGAACAGAGATATACGGGGGAGAAGACTGAAACAGATGGAGGCACAGAGACATGTGACAGAGATAGAGAGATATCATATTGCTTTTAGCCCTAGCCGGTTTGGCTCAGTGGATAGAACATTGACCTTCGGACTGAAGGATCCCAGGTTCGATTCTGATCAAGGACACATGTCTGGGTTTCGGGCTCAAGCCCCAGTAGGGAGCGTGCAGGAGGCAGCTGATCAATGATTCTTTCTCATTATTGATGTTTCTATCTCTCCCTTTCTCTTCCTCTTTGAAATCAATAAAACAAATATTTTTTTAAAAAATTGCTTCACTTTTAGAAAACCCATTGACTGGAAGAAAAATCAAAACCTGTGATAGTAATTTGGGAAAAATTATAATGTATTCATATATATTCTCATTCATATAGGAGAGAAATGCATAGACAACTAAACAATTCTAAAGATATTGTTTCTGACATTTTGAGAAGAATCTTGAAAACTGGAGCATTAGAACTAACTATTTTAATATTAAATATGTTTTTCTAGCAATCTTATTCACCAACCTTACAAATGTTGAGCAGCAGTGGGCTACCACCAAGTCCCACTACTAGTCCGAGACATTTCTCCAGGTAGGTAAACCTGCTTTTTATATGTGAGTGAAATGCTACTTACTGAAATTGTTTCTCTGAAGAACTTACCCCCTCCTGACATCTTATTATGGAAATTTTCAAACAAAGCAAAATTGAAAGAATTGCTCAGTGAACATCCAAGTACCGATTACCTATATTCTACCATTAACATTTTACCACATGCATTTTTTGAGACTTAATGCCAATTTATATTCAGAGCACCTACATGTGGGTGTTTGATGATATGTCTTCTATAAAGAAAAAGTTTAAGATTATAGAGCAGTCAAATCCAAATAACATTTTTGGGTTTTTTTTTTTGTTTGTTTGTTTTTGTTTTGTTAATCCTCACCAAAGGCTATATTTTTCCATTGATTCTTAGAGAGTGGAAGGGAGAGGCAAGGTTAGGGGAGGAGATAAATAGAGAGATAGAAATTGAGATAGGGATAGGGATAGGGATAGGATGAGAGAGAGAGAGAGAGAGAGAGAGAGAGAGAGAGAGAGAGAGAGAGAGAGAGAACCGCCATTTGAAAAGGTACATGGGTCTGATTGGTGTGGCTAAGTATTTGGTTAACCTATGAACCAGGAGGTCTTGGTTCAATTCCCTAGTCAGGGCAAATGCCCAGGTTGTGGGCTCAGTCCCCAGTAAGGGGTATACAGGGGGCAGCCTATCAATGATTTTCTCTCATCATTGATGTTTCTATCTTTTCCCCCTTCCTTCTTCTGTGAAATCAATAAAAATATATTTTAAAAAAGAAAGACACATCAATTGGTTGGCTCCCTCATATACCAACTGGAGCCTGGGATCTAATCTGCAACCCAGGTATGTGCCCTTGACCTGGAATTGAATCTGCAACCATTTGGGGCATGGGCCGATGCTCTAATCATTGGGAAACAACAACAGGACAACTTTAAAAAAAATCCTCACCAGTGCATATATTTAAAAAAATATTTTTATTAATTTCAAAGAGAGGAAGGGAGAGGAAGAGAGAAAAACATCAATGATGAGAATCATTGATCAGCTGCCTTCTGCCTACCCCACATGGGATCAAGCCCATATCCTGGGCATATGCCCTGACCTGGAATCAAGCTGACCCTCTAGCTGAGCCACCTGGCCAGGGCCCAAATAACTTTTTTTAAATGTATATTTTGATTTTTTTCAGAGAGGAAGGAAGAGGGAGAGAAACATCAATGGTGAGAATTATTGATTAGCTGCTTCCTGCATGTCCCACACTGGGATCGAGCCCACATCCTGAGCATGTGCCCTGACCTGAAATCAAACTGACCTCCTGAGCCATGCTGGCTGGACACAAATAACTTTGTAATAAGGTTTATTATATTTTTAAAGAAACTGCTGTGGGTATTTGGTATTCTAGAACGATTAAAATATAGGTTAAAACACCATGTTATTCCAGATTGTCATATGCCAGTTCAGATCATATATTAGCATTTCATTTACTCAACCTCTAGAACACAGGCATTTTATATTTCTTCCTATATGAATACTAATTTTATTGACTTATTTGGTGGGTTTAAATGTTTCTTGCACCTTAGAAGTACTTCACATCATCGTGTTTGTTCTTTGAAGCAGGAGGAGTCAGAGCCCAGTCAAATGCATTCGACCCAATGCTCTTGGTCCTGTTAAAAGAAAAGGTAAGCATCACATTTCTGATATTAAACCTAGTCAAACTTGAATTACAAACTAGAATTTCTGCCTGAAATTAGTTTCAAGACAGGACTCCTTTTTCCTAAAGAAACATGCATTACTCTTCCCCATGTATGCTTTACTAATTCTATAATTTGTAAATTAGTTATTTGATACTACCCATCTTTTTTTATACTTCATAACTGAGTCTTATTCATATATTTATATTATCAATATATATTCCAAAATTTTGCCTCTTGGTGATCTGAATATAAAAGAGATGCAAATTGATATGTTGCAGAAATGTATACTTATGTCATAGTAAATAGGTCTATAAACAAGCTGTATTCTCAAATATAAGCCACCACCAAATTACACCTTGGTAGAGAGAATTGCCTCATATTCAAGTCTATAGGATTTTTGCTGTAATTGGGGTGCTCTCTTAATTACCTTATTTTGAATCACAAAGCACTAAACTAAAATGATCTTACTCAATGCTAGTTTTAGATGCTTATGGGCACCTGATGGAGTCTATTAAAAAGAAGCAAAGAAATTTAACATTATTCATTTTAGTCATTATTCCTGGGGATATGACCACATGATCACAAGTGTTGGATATCATTTTAAACAAGAGTTTTAGCAATAATTTTAAAAAGCAATTCAGTAAGTGGTTTCTTTGTGCAGATCAGCTTCAGGGCCAGTAAACAAATCAACTCTCCTCACGGGTAGGTAAATGGATACTTGCTGGTTTCGGTGAAAAATTTCCAGTGATAGACTCATATACAGATTCAAAAAGTGCTGTATTTCAGACAACAAAATTAAAGTTGGTATGTTCTGGAAAATAGAACCTGATACACTGACAATATTTGTATTAGAGAATAAATTTTATTTTATAAACCAAGAGTTTTTTTCTTAATTCTTTAAGGAATTATTTATAATCTTAAGAAGCTTCCCAGGAGCTATTACATGAAATTAACATAGGGACAGTAAAGCTATTATTGTTCTCATTAATTTTAAATTTGTTGCAGGAAATTGGTGGAATTGTTTTGATTTCAAAGCTATTCCAACATATACCAGCAGATGGAGGAATTCTTTGCTAAAACGTGTTTTGCTAATGAGGTGTTGAAAGCCAGGAGGCAGCTTCTAAAAACTGCATATTAAAGGATGGAAAAATAAATAAAATACAACCTTTTTTTCAATTTTAGTCATATTCAGAATAGCTCCAGAGGAAAGATAATATAAATTAATTGATAAATGGGAAAAAATTGAATGTTGTATTTGTTTTTACTTGATCTTTTTTCCTCATAAGAATCTTGTAAAGGGTTAAGTTCACAGTTATTAATTTTCCTACTGGAGTATAGATAGGCCCACGACTTAAAGTTTCTTTAATATTCCATTTAAAACTCAAATGGAGCTTCCATTTCCAGATAAAGAACTTTAAAACAAATGTATTTGCATGTTTTATTTCATAACTTATTTGGAAAAGGGCCTTTTCTGTCTAATTTAGGGTTTAGTGTTTGCACTCCTGGTGGCAAAATGTTAACCACTCTTTCTTGGATGCAAAGTTTTTCTATTACCAGTTCTGAGAAAAATCTATAGGATTGAGATAGCCAGTATACCAATTTTATGAATTGGTTAATAATTGCTTTCACTTAAAAATGTGCTTTCAAACTTATACAGTCCTGCATCCCTTACCAGTGGAGATATGTTCTGAGAATTTGTCATCAGCTGATTCCATCATTGTATACACATTATAGAGTGCACTTACACACACATCTAGGCCATATGGTACAGTCTATTGCTCCTAGTGTACAAGTCTGTACTGCATGATGCTCTACAAAACAGCATGAGATCAAATCAAGCACAAGAAAAAATTATGCAATCAAGACACAGGGCAAATGTGAGATGTTTAGCAGTGTGACATGACATACTGTTTTACAGCAAACTCTTTTAAAAAAATATATTTTATTGATTTTACAGAGAGTAAGGGAGATGGATAGAGAGTTAGAAACATCGCCGAAACCAGTTTGGCTCAGCGGTAGAGCGTTGGTCTGTGGACTGAAAGGTCCCAGGTTCGATTCCGGTCAAAGGCATGTACCTTAGTTGTGGGCACATCCCCGGTAGGGGGTGTGCAAAAGGCAACTGGTCGATGATTCTTTCTCATCGACGTTTCTAGCTCTCTATTTCTCTCCCTTCCTCTCTGTATAAAAATCAATAAAATATATTAAAAAAAGAAAGAAACATCCATGAGAGAGAAACATTGATCAGCTGCCTTCTGCACACTCCCCACTGGGAATGTGCCCGCAATCAAGGTACATGCCCTTGACCAGAATTGAACCTGGGACCCTTCAGTCCGCAGGCTGACGCTCTATCCACTGAGCCAAACTGGTTAGGGCTTACAGCAAACTTTTAAAAAAATTATTGAGAGTATGTTTATTAAAGCTGGAACACTGATAGAAGGAAGGGCTTAGGATAGAAGAAGTACTAAGCGCAGTTGATTTGGCTCTAGAAAGTCAGAAAAGGGGGCCTTGGAGATAGGTTCTGGGGGTTAGCCTGGGACAAGCTGCTGCTGTCCATTACTCACCTGGTTGCAAGTCTTGTAGGGTTCCTTAGAGTGTAGGAGATGCATGCTAAAGGGAAAAAGAGTAAAGGGAAAGGAATGGGTGTGGTTTTGGGGAGGAGAGTGTGCCAGCAAACTTTTTATTTTTTTTTATAAATAGAAAGAATACACTCTAAAATAATGATAACAAGTACTGTATAGTAAATACATAAGCCAGTAACATAGTTGTTCATTATCATTGTCAAGTATTATGTATGGTACATAATTTTATGTGCTGTGCTTTTATGACTGGAAGTGCAGGAGTTTTGTTTATACCAGCATCACCACAAACACATGAGGAATGTGTTGTGCTATGACCTTATGATGGCTCCATTATAATTTTACTAGAGGCCCTGGGCAGGAAATTTATGCACAAGTAAGGTCCCTAGGCCTGGCTGGTGATCAGGGCCCATCAGATTCCCCACCTCCCAGCCTTCCCACCTCTTCTTTCCCTCACTCCCTCAGCACCCCTGCTGCTGCCACTGGTCACTCTCCATTTTCTGTGCCACCCCTTGGTGGTCAACATATGTCATAGCAAGCAATCAAATTCCCAGTCTCTAAGTGGAACTCCAGAGGGGATAATTTTCATATTAGCCTTTTATTATATAGGATGGTACCACCATCTTACATGCAGGCCATCATTGACCAAAACATCATTATGCAATCTGTGACTATTTTTACCTTCATTTTCACTAAGGAGGCTAAAGCAACCTTTGATTTATATACTCGTTATCAGATTGAATACTTTTTAAAAAATTGATATTTAAGAGAGAGGAAGGGAGAGAGAAATATTGATGTGAGAGAGAAACTTTAATTGGCCATCTCTCATGAACCCTGACCGGGGACTAAACCCACAACCCAGGCATGTGCTCTGATCAGGAATCAAACCAAGTGAGCCACGCTGGCCAGGGGAAGACTTAATACTTTTTAACCCATTTGAATTCAAATCAGGAAATGTTCTGATATTAAAACATATCAAATCCTTACTAATCATCTGGCATAAATTATTACTTGCTGTGAATTTCAGCTATTTGGAGATACTTTATTTCTGCTGTGGTTAGCCTTGATTCGTTTTACCTGATGCAATCAGTGTCCAACTCTACTATTAAATAACATGACTATATTAGTAGCATGGTACATATAAAATGAGGTTTTCTTTAGGGCTGTTAACCTTTTGGTTGAGATTACATGGAAGTATATTTCTTCTAGTTAAACACATGGAAAATATCTTTCAAGTAACAGCTTCAAGAAGTATGCTCAGCTTTGGTTAATCAGAGATCATCCTATTTTAGCACTGAGCCTGTAAAATTGTTTACAGTACCATTCTCTCTTTTTGTTTTAGGTGAAATGGAGTCCGAAAGCCAGCCTAAGAGGCTCTTCCAAGGCTCTACCAGTATTCTGCCTTCGGAAAATGCACACTTGTCTGAACTCAGTTCATGGTAAAAAATGAAATAAAATCAAAAGGATATTAGGATATGATCTATTTCAAAAGTCACATCAAAAATATATTGGGATCATTTAACATATATTCAGCTTTTAAAAAATATATTTTTATTGATTTTAGAGAAGAAGGGAGAGGGAGAGAGAGAGAGAGGCATCAATGATGAGAGAGAATCATTGTTCGGCTGCCTCCTGCACATCCCCTACCTACCCGAGATCAAGCCTGCAACCCACATATGTGCCCTTGACTGGAATTGAACTTAGACCCTTCAGTCCGCAGGCCAACACTCTACCCACTGAACCAAATCAATGAGGGCATATATTCAGCTTTTTATCCATGCTCCATAGAGGGGAAATCTCTCAGAGGTATAGATAATATGAAAAAGCAGATCATTTGAAAGTCATGAGTACATTTTTGGAAGTGTGTATCTTTGGGCACTTCCACCTCCATTCCTAGCTCCTGTTAAGTCAGCCTCTCTCAGTAGATGCTAGGTGTGGTAGAGTGTCAATAGCTGGATGGTATGAGAGTTTCTGGATTTCTTGGTAATGGTACACTGATTATAGCTGATCTGCCTGCATTTTGTATTATATCCTTTTAAAAAATATATCTTTATTGATTTTAGAGAGGAAGGGACAGAGATAGAAACAATGATTTGCTGCCTCCTGCATTCTCCCTCCCCCCCTCCCTGGGGACCAAGCCTGAAACTCGAGGCATTTGCTCTGACTGGGAATGGAACCATTACCTCTTAGTTCATAGGTTGATGCTCAACCACTGAGGAACACCGGCTGGTATAATTTGAAAGTTTTAAGTACATTTGAATCAACTCACTGAACATCCATGTTCTAAACATGATTGTGTACTGCCTTTCAGAACTTTCACTTTCCTAAGTTTTATGTCTGAGGATCCTTTTTCCCCTCAGTTTTTTTTTTTATTTCAAGAAAAACGATTTTAAATATTATAATGTTACATGTAATAAACATTAATATCTCAAGAAAAATGATTTTAAATATGATAATGTTACACGCAATAAACCAATTATTTAAGAAAAGTGACCTCAGTGGATAGAGCGTCTGCCTGCGGACTGAAAGGTCCCAGGTTCAATTCCGGTCAAGGGTATGTACATTGGTTGCAGGCACATCCCCAGTAGGGGATGTGCAGGAGGCAGCTGGTCGATGTTTCTCTCTCATCAATGTTTCTAGCTCTCTATCCCTCTCCCTTCCTCTCTGTAAAAAATCAATAAAATACATTTAGAAAAAAAGAAAAGTGACCTTACATATAATATTACATGCAATAAATATTAATATTTCAAGAATAAAAGGACTTTAAGTATAATAATGTTACTGAAACTGTACTAACCTAGTATGCTATCACAACAGTTGTAGGAAACATTAAAAATCTTCAAATAACAGGATTACTTCTATTATATTCTAGTATATTTTCCCCCTCTAGCTCTAATTTTATTCTTCAGTTTATGTTGTTCATTATATTCCATAAATGAGTGAGATCATATCATATTTATCTTTCTCCAACTGCGTTATTTCGCTTAGCATGAGTTTTTAAAGTCTATTTTGTCGATGTGAATATTGCTACTCTAGCTTTTTTTTCTTTTTCATTTGCATGGAAATTTTTTCCCCACCCATCACTTTCATCCTGGTGTGTCTTTTATTTTGAGATGGGTCACTTGTAGACAGCATATAGTTGGGTCATGTTTTTGTATCCATTCATCTATCCTACACCTTTTAATTGGAGCATTTAATCCATTTACATTTAGGGTTATTATTGAGAGGTACTTATTTATAGCCATTTTAATTCTGTATGGCTAGGTTTCTCTCTCTGTTTCTTCTCAGCAATCCCTTACAGCAATCCCTTTAGCATTTCTTCTAATGCTGGCTTAGTGGTGATGAACTCCTTTAGTGCCTCCCCCCCACCACCCTTTTTTTTTTGTCTGGGAAGCTATTTGACCATCTATTTGGAATGATAGCCTTGCTGTATATAGTAATCTTGGTCTCAGATCCTTGCTTTCTATTACCTTAAGTACTTCATGCCATTCCCTTCTGGCCTATAGAGTTTCTGATGAGAAATCAGGTGTCAGCCTTCTGGGAACTCCTTTATAGGTAATAGTTTTCTTTTCTCTTGCTGCCTTTAAGATTTTCTCTTTGTCTTGAATTTTTGGCATTTTACTTATGATGTGTCTGGGCATGAGTCTGTTTGGGTTCCTCTTGTTTAGGGTTCTCTGTGTCTTCTGAACTTGTGTGACTTTTTCCTTTACCAATTTAGGGAAGTTTTCTACCATTATTTCTTCAAACACATTCTCTATGCCTTTCTCCCTTTCTGCCTCTTCAGACACACCTACTATTCTAATATTGTTACGTTTCACATTGTCCCACAGCTCCCTTAAGCTGTCCTCCTGTTTTTACTTTTTGGTTCTCTAATTGAGTGATATTTTCCACTCTGTCTTCTAATTCACTGATTCAATCCTCACCTTCCCCTAATCTGCTGTGTATTTCTTCCAATGTGTTTTTTATTTGTGTTATGTCTTTCTTTATCTCAGACTGTTCTTTTGTCATAGTTAACTATATCTTTTTTTCATACTGTTGAGTATTTTTAACATCATTACTCTGAACTCTGTTTCAGATAAATTTCTTATCTAATTGGATCAGGCTAGGACTCAAAACCTCCAGAGACCACCTCTGTCTATAGACTAATAGAATTCTGACTTGAATTGCCCCTAGGCAATCATCCTCAGGCATGGCGAGAGTTTTTTTTCAGCAGTGTGTGACAATTGCTTCTGCCTGGAGGCTAATTGTTACTTTTAATCTCTTAAGTGGCCTCAGGGCAAGGTGTTTTTCAATAGGGTGTATTGACTGCCTTCCCCCCAGGCAAGGCAAATGTCTGATGTCCTGTGCTGTGTGAGGGAATGACTCAGCCCAAGAAACTTAGGGTGTCTGCCTTCTGAGCTCTATCCCCTGCGTCCCCAGTCCTGAGTTCTGCTCTCTCAGCTCCAGTCCACTTCACCCTCCCTCTGCTAGAGCACAGGGTAGGTGGCTCCACAGGGAATTTTTGTGTATTGGCCCTTTAAGAGGATGTCTGAACTTTCAGCTGCCACTCCCTGGCAGATAGCACCCCACTGCTTTTCACAGCTAGATGTTATGTGGGTACCCTCCTCAGTTTGGTGCTCTCTGCTGGGGAGCTAGCTTTGGGATTAGATCCCAGAGTTCTTAGTGACGTCTCCCCCTCTCCCCCAACACACACAAGCTGAGATATCTCTCTGGGTTGCTATCTGTGGGTGCCCTGGCCAGCCCCTTTGTGCCTCTGCCCCTCCTACCAATCTCTATGTGGTCTCCACCTTCAGTCCTTGGGTATCAGAGTTCTCTCTTTTGAGTTTTCCATTGATTATTCAGAAAGCCTTTCCGTATTTCAGTTGTAATTCCAGCTTGTTCCTGGGAGCATGTCCGTGCATCGTCCTCCTACTCTGCTGCCATTTTTAATCTTAGGAATAATTTGAGTTCAATTTATGTTAGTCCATTTGGGCTGCTGTTAAAAAATTAGTTTAGCAGCAAACTGGCTTAAACAACAAACATTTATTTCCAATAGTTTTGGTGGCTGAGAAGTCTAACATCTAGCTAACGGTAGATTTAGTGTCTGATGAGAGAGCAATTCCTGGTGTATGGACAACCATCCTCTGTGTTGTCACATGGTAGAATGTGAGGATCTTTTTTTAAGAGTCCACAAGGGCATTCACTTTAAAAGACTTGCATCCGTCAAATGGAAGAATTGTGTAAGCCACTTATAAGGTATGAGTGTTAATTAACGATTCCTTCTTTCCAGATCACTTATTTCATGTTTTGTGAAAGATAACTTGTACTTCTAGTTGACTAGGAAGTTGGATTTTTCTAGTTTATTAGACTTGTTGATCAGCACTGTTCTAACCTTGGAACAGATGCCTTTTAGATTGTTCCAGCTATTTTCAGCCCCACAGTTTTTCTTCTCTCTCATCTCTGTCTGTCCTCGGTCGTTCAGTGTGCTAATTTTGGTACAGAGTGCCTTTCCAGGTATGTAGACGATCAAAAAGAGAAAACCTCTAAAGCTTGTCAAGATAACTAGCAGATGTAACTCTATACTTAGTGGAAACTACATATCACTTTTATGGTAAAGTATGTTTTAATATAGGCACATGGCATTATAAATAGATTTGCTTACCCAGTTACTGACTAAGTAACCAAGTTAGGTAAAAGACATGAAAGGTTTTTGCCAAGCTAAAAACGTACAGACAGGGTGAGGTGATTTATTAAAAATATTGCCATAGACTGATTGTGGAAGTTGCCATAAAACAGATTCATGTAAATAAATAAGAAAGGAAAGAAAAGGCATAGTATTTACCGAAAGTTCTCTTCTCTTGTCCAGTTCTTTATTCCTCTAAGGAGCAACCTAAGCTTTAGATTATGGTGGCTGTTGTGATGTTTCTATTTCTGTTGCCCCTACTTCCATTCTCTGAGGACCTGTGACTGGCAATGAGAGTCCTGGGAACATTGATGATAAAGGGCACTTTTGATCCATAAACACAAAAAATGTTCCCTCATACTGGAGAGATTTGCTTTATTCACGGCCACTCATAGAATGCTTAGAAGCCAATATATGGCTCAAATGATATGTTAAAAAGAAACCTATTACTCAAAATTCACAAAATTAAGTTTCATATATATATATATTTAAGCAATTAAAAATTTAAAGGACATTTTTAGTAAGTTGGTCGCATCTGGACTTCCAAGGATATTAAAACTTAACATTTCACTAAATTTTTGGGACACCTTGTATAATAATATTGTTGACATTTATGTCTATAGCTAAGAGATTTTAAATATGAGTTATTCCTGATATGTAAAAATTGAATCCTGCCTTCGCAGAAACTTTTTTTCTCTCTCTTTAATGTATTTTCATTGATCAGATATACATATTTCTAGAAATGGGGAGAAAGACAGGAAGTAGCTGTGTTCTGGT